CCATTCCCCTGCCGCGGCCGGCTGCCTGCAGGCGCGGCTCCTGGCTAGAGCCAGCGAGCGGAACCGGCGCCTCGGCCTCTGCGCCGCCTCCCACCATCGGTGGCGCGACCCCCCGGCCGGCCCGCCGGGCCCCGCGTCCCAGCGTAGGTCCAGCAGCCTCAGAGCGGGAGGGTGCAACTTTCCCCCGGTCCCGGGGCGGGGCGGGGACGGCAACGGGACAACTTGGAAAACTTCTCCGGGGGTGACGGCAGGGACGCCGGGTGCTGGTGGAAGAGGATGTAGGAGGGCGGTGGCTGGCCCCAGGCATCCCTTGATCTTCTAGGCACACGTTCGGCCTGGCCATGGGGCTCCAGCGCCTTCCGCGCCGCCAGGGGGTTGATCCTCCCGTCTAGCCTAGCTGGATAGGACAGTGCTGTCGCCCGCTGAGCACGCGCTGGGCGAGAGGCGACCCCTCTGGACGCGCGTCCTGCCCCGCCATGGACCACCAGGAGCCCTACTCGGTGCAGGCCACCGCGGCCATCGCGGCGGTCATCACGTTTCTCATACTCTTCACCATCTTCGGCAACGCGCTGGTCATCTTGGCTGTGCTGACGAGCCGCTCGCTGCGCGCCCCGCAGAACCTGTTCCTGGTGTCGCTGGCTGCTGCCGACATCCTGGTGGCCACGCTCATCATCCCCTTCTCGCTGGCCAACGAGCTGCTGGGCTACTGGTACTTCCGGCGCACATGGTGCGAGGTGTACTTGGCGCTGGACGTGCTCTTCTGTACCTCGTCCATCGTGCACCTGTGCGCCATCAGCCTGGACCGCTACTGGGCGGTGAGCCGGGCGCTGGAATACAACTCCAAGCGTACCCCGCGCCGTATCAAGTGCATCATTCTCACCGTGTGGCTCATCGCAGCCGTCATCTCCCTGCCACCGCTGATCTACAAGGGCGACCAAGGGCCCCAGCCCCGCGGGCGCCCCCAGTGCAAACTCAACCAGGAGGCCTGGTACATCCTGGCCTCCAGCATTGGGTCCTTCTTCGCACCCTGCCTCATCATGATCCTCGTCTACCTGCGCATCTACCTGATTGCCAAACGCAGCCACCGCAGAGGTCCCAGGGCCAAGGGGGGCCCCGGGGCAGGTGAGTCCAAGAAGCCACGCTCAGTCCCTACGGGGACTTCGACCAAACTGCCTACCCTGGCCTCGCTGGTGGCTTCTGGGGAGGCCAATGGGCACTCTAAGCCTACTGGGGAGAAGGAAGAGGGGGATACCCCTGAAGATCCCGGGACCCCTGCCTTGCCACCCACCTGGTCAGCCCGTCCCAACTCGGGCCAGAGTCAGAAGGAAGGTGTGTGCGGGGCATCTCCAGAGGAGGAAGCTGAAGAGGAGGAGGAGGAAGAGGAGGAGGAAGGCAAGCCTCAGGCCTTACCAGCCTCTCCTGCATCAGCTTGTAGCCCACCCCTGCAGCAGCCACAGGGTTCCCGGGTGCTGGCAACCCTACGTGGCCAGGTGCTCCTGGCCAGAGGTGTGGGCACCGCGAGTGGGCAGTGGTGGCGGCGGCGGGCACAGCTGACTCGGGAGAAACGGTTCACCTTTGTGCTGGCCGTGGTCATTGGTGTTTTTGTGCTCTGCTGGTTCCCCTTCTTCTTCAGCTACAGTCTGGGTGCCATCTGCCCGCAGCGCTGCAAGGTGCCCCATGGCCTCTTCCAGTTCTTCTTCTGGATTGGCTACTGTAACAGCTCGCTGAACCCTGTCATCTACACTATCTTTAACCAGGACTTTCGCCGTGCCTTCCGAAGGATCCTTTGCCGCCAGTGGACCCAGACGGCATGGTGAGCCACCTGCCTGCCACCCGCATGGGGTTGGTGCCAGGTGGCACCCGGGCCACTCTGATTCTTGCCCTCATTGTGGCCACCTCCCTGGGGCTTTCTGGTTCCTGCCTGGGTCTAGCAGGTCTCACTTGGCAGCCCCCTGAGAGGGGTAGGGGCAGGGGTGCTCACTGGGGTCCATTTGAAGCCTCCAAAGCCAGGCCAGGTTAGAGCCCTTCCCTCCCAGTACCCCAGACCCCAGCAAGCCAACGGGAGGACTTTCCTTCTTCAAGGACTCTGTGTTCCCTGGCTGGTCACTTGCTTGTGGTGTTTGTTTCGCATCCTCCCCGGGTAGAGAGCAGGAAGCCAGCCTGCCACTTTTCCCAGAGGCACCTGCCGCTGCGGGGGAGGCAGGATTGAGGGATCCACGCTGGGTGTCTGTGGTCCCTGTCAGGCGCTGGGTGGGGGGGGTTATGATCTGGCACTGCTTCTGGGCCTTCTTCCCTTTCCATCTACTTCTGGATTCATAGCTCCTTTAAAGGCCAGAACCTTTTCTGGAATCATTTTCTTAACCCGTTCCCGCTCTGGGAGGTGGGTGTGTGCCGGTGGATGCCTCGCCTTGGTGGGGCGGTCTGGGGGCCTGGCCTCTGCCTCAACGGGAGATCCCTGATCACTAGCATTCACCTCCTACAAAAACCCGGCGAGGGTGGCTTGCCGCCCACTTGCTGCGGGGAGATGAAAGGCTTTGCAGAAAGCTTTGAGCGCCATGGGGGAACACACTAGAGAACCAGAAAATGTGATTATTTGGTGATATAAAAATCCCCTTCCTCTGTGTTTATCACCACCTGTCTTCCTGTATAGACTTTAATTCTGTGCCTGGGGTGTGTGAATTCTTACCCCAAACTGGAAGTGGGGAATGGTAGAGAGAACCACTATTTCAGTCAAAGGATTTTTCGAGAACATGTTCTCACACCTGCAAGGGTTTAGTTATTATGCTGCGTGACAGCTTCTCGACGTTTTCACCCACACCACCAAGGGGCTTTTCAGTGACTTGGGCCCCCCAGTTGGGGAAAAGTCTTTTGTCATCAAGCAGGCTAATTGTTTTCCCAAGAGGGCTAAAAATACCCATGCCATGGGAGCAGTCTGGGATGAGACCCTGGGGTGGGTGACTGAGCCCCCCCCACGTGGGGTGCTGGGGACTCCTGCGGGAGCCTCCCACCAGAGCACCCAGGCAGGTCTCCAACTTCCCAGTGGGTCCCTGTGATGTATAAGCGACCCTCCTCCAGATGGGGTGGGGGCCGGCTGGCCATCTCTGACCCAGCCACGTTGCTCCATCCCATGGATGGGGCTCCAGGGGCCTCTTCCTCTTGGTTGTTACCCCATTCCTGGGACCTGGCACCCAGAACACTGGGGAGCATTTGAAGGACGTTTCCCATTCTCCAAGGAGTGCCTGGTTTGGACGTGAAACCAGCGGGCAGCTAGCATGGGGCTGGGGCTGAGCAGCACAGGCCCGGTGGGCACTCTGATGGGCCTGGCCAGATCTGGAGAGGCACTGAGAGAGTTTTCTGGGGGAGGAGAGAATGGAGGGGACCAAAGAGAGTCCTTCCTGGGGAGAGGGGCTGTCTAGCTCCTTCCTCAGTCTCAGGACTCCTTCCTCACCTCAGGGTGAGGCCAGGGTGTGGCTTTGGGGCCGGACTGCGGAGGCTGGGCCCAGGGGAGTGGCTGACTTGTGACATCTGCTGGCTGGTCTTGTGTGTGTCCCACGGGACTTGTGCTATTATGATCGCCTGTGCTCCCCCCCTTGTTGTGATATGCAGGTGTTTGTTGTCATTGTTGTTTTTTTAAAGTCTGAGCTATTTTATCAATAAAGGATATTTTGTAATAAGTGAGCTGTGTCCTTGTTGCCCAAAGCTTGGAGGAGTAATCATTATTTCTCAGCTACTCGGGTATCTCTAAGCACGCGTTCCCTCCCGGGGTCTGTGCCCACCTGCTTGCCTGCTTTATCCACTCAGCATCCCTTATCATTACCAGCCGGTGGGAGGACAGTGGCCAGAGAAGCCTGAGACTGGCCGCCTGGCTAAGGGAGAAGAAGGACTTCTAGGAGGAGGGGGCCTTGGGGGAAGAGCTAGAGTATACCAAGAAGCAAGACAGGAAAGGTGTTTTGGGCAGGAGACAGCATGTGCAAAGGGTGCATCTGGTGGATTTGTGACAGCTGGAGCATCAGCGTGGAGGTCACGTGCAGCAGCTGGGGGCCAGAGGAGGGCATTGGACACCACCTCTGGGGTGGGGGGAGCATGGGGAGGAAGGGCAGGAGGGCTGCCGCCTTCAGGCTCTCCCACACTAAGATACAGTCACGAACACCAGAGTTGGAAGACCTGTGAATGTCAGTTCCATTGGTCTCCTTGTTTCCCAGATGCGGCCTCCAAGATATCCCATCCCACCTCAGTGAGGGGAGCCTCTGGGGCCCGGAGCCAGGGTGGCTTGCTTCTGAGGGCAGGGGACGCCCCAGGGAAGGGTGAGGCCTGGGAGGGGGCAGAGGGAGGAGCGGTGAGGTCCCAGGGTCCGGGCATGGGAGGCCACCTCCCACATCCAGGATTCGCATACCCCCATGCCACGGGCAACCAGTGGAGACTCCTGTGTATCCACGGTTGCTGGTAGACATGGTGGCGTGGGGCTTCACGGAGGACTTGATGAGAAAGCCTCACCCTGCCCTGGGGAGCTCCCAGCAACTCCTACTAACCTGTCTTTCCCATGCCAAGGCCCTGAGGCCTGATAAGGGTAGATTAAAGTAGCTCATTTGTTCCCATCTGCCGAGCCGATCACCTTTCTGGCATTTTGTCGAAGTACTTTGTTTAAACCTCATGCCCACAGTGTAGAAGACGTATCAGCCCATTTTGTCCAGGGGAAACCGAGGCTCAGAAACATGTACTGACTTGCCAGAGGTCACCCTGTTTGCTCCGGACCACACTGTTTTTGCCCGAGGGTCTGTGAGGGGTGGGGAAAGGGCTCCCTGCCCAGAGTCTGGAGAGCATATCAATTACCCCTGCTGTAGTCGGATGGTTGGCTGCCCATTTTGAGTACGAATACTGAAAACATCCTTTTACGCAATCCCCACAATCTCGCTGGGTGTGGCCATTTTGCCAAAGAGGAAACTGAGGCTCGAGGTCACCCAGCTGGGTCCCTGAATCTCAGAGCTTCAAGGTGCAGAAGAATCTTGTTTCTGTCATTCACCCCGGCTCTCATTCGGAGGGTGCCGGCCGGTGGGGGACTCTGAAACTGTGCCTGGCTGGGCTTGGTCAGCGGTAGTGCGGTAATGGACCCATCGTGTCTGTCACTGCCCCAGAATATGGAAGCAATGGCCCGGCTCCCACAGGTTTTCCATTTCTGACAGCTTGGTCCAAAGCCCCGAGTTTATTAAAGAAGAGACTGAAGGCCGGAGAGCGATGACTTGCCTTGGCCCCCTGCCCCCGCAGCCAGGCGGCTGCAGAGCTGGTCTAGAACGCGGGCTGCCGGGCACTGTGCCCACTGTCCCACACCTTTACATGGAAGGGATTGTATCTAGACTCAAGGAACAGCAAGGCCCCATTCGGGAAACATCTGGGACAGACCGCTGTGTGCAAGGGCCTGTGTCTGGCTTGTCCCCATTTTGCTATTTGTTCCGTTCTTGGACGGAACATCTGAGGAGCAGAGCGCCAGGGTCTGCCCACAGTCACACGGCTCACAGGGGGTACAGCTGGTTCCCATGCCGCCTTCTCCTCCTCTCACAGCCCATTCCTGCTGTTATGTGTGACTAGCACCTACTTTGGATTTTACCCTGAGCCCATGTGAGGGTTAGTGGGTCGAAGACATGGGCTCAGAGCAGCAGACATGAGAGTGGGGGGAATTGCACGCCTCCTCCCAGGAGGAACCCCCCCCACCCCTTGGCGGTGAGGGTGGGGGACAGGAGGCAGCATGGAGGCTTGGCGGTTCACCCTCTGGATGTGAGCTGTCTTGGCGGGGCACTTCTACCTTCTGAAGACCCTTCTATCTCTTGTCTTAAGGCATCTCTGACAAAGGGAGGGACTGATAATGAAGACAATTAAAGAAGAGGTGAGATGGATGGCTTTGGGAGACAGGTCCCCTCCAGTTTCACTCGCAGTGTAAGAATCTGGGTCCTTCCAGCACAGGGGACCCCCTTGAAAGGGAGTACAGTGCCAGCCTCTGCCTCAGTCCAGCTCCAAGAAATTCGGGGCTGCTGGGAATTCCTCTTGGGGCCTTGCTGCGGGCAGCACCCCCGATCCACCCGCTCAAAAGGTACCTGTGCTGGGAGGGCTGGCTGGCCGACTGCCAAGACTCCAGGTAGAGGGGGCTTGTGAGTTTCATCTGGCCCCTGTGTCTCCCCATCCTCTCTTCTGCGTTTGTGAGGTGGCCCTGAGCACCGGGCATGAGACCGTGAAGATGGGGTTGCTGCTGGTAGGGCCTAGGGAGGCTTCTGGCCAGGTGAAGCTGATACTGGGCCACCTTTGGTTCCCTGGTGCTGGCCAGGAGTTCTGCTTAGAGGGCCCAGTTGCTGGGAACCTCCAGGCTGGTGTGGGACTTGGTGCCAATGAAAACCACAGTGGGGAGGTGGCCGGGAGACTGGGGCCATGCTCTGTTTCTGCCATCATCTGTCCTGCTGCCCCTGAGCCTGGGTCCTTCTTGGGCCCTCGGTGTTCCTGCCTGCCCATGAGGGGTCGACCCCATGGTCCCTAGGGCTCCCTATAGCTGGAGGCCTCATCTCCGCTGTGATCCTTGGCTTTCTGGAAGATCCAGCTTCGGAAGTTCCTGGAGTTAATCCGTTGTTCTTAGGGTCAAGCTCTTGGGCAGGCTTAGGGCTGTGTTTTCTTCCTCTTTGTGCCTTGGTGCAGAGGCAGGCTGGGTCTGGGGTGACCGATCAGTTTGGGGCCCTCTGGGATGGGCAGTGACAGAGGAATATTGACAAGCTCTGAGTCAGGACTGGTGCCTGCCATGGCATCATCTGAGATGAGAGCGACCACTATTCCCATTTCATAGGAGAGGAAACTGAGGCCGAGGGAGATTGAGCGCCTTGCCTGAGGTCATCCAGAGCCAGGACAA